AGGAAATGATTGCTGCAAGGAGGGGCCACTTCAATGTCAAGCCACAGTAGGAAGCATTGCTAGAACAATGCTTTTCAGAGGATCAGAAATATCGAGGTACTTAAGGATACCGTCCACAATGTTATCAAATGAGAACAACCCAGATGAAGGAGGGGCTTCTGTTCTTAAAAATGGACCATCAGGGGTTGATGGAAAATTCTGGTTATAGTCAGTTCTGCGGCAACCAGGAGGAGTTGAAACTTTCTTTTTTCCACCATTCCTTGATTTGGGCAAGCTGATTTGGGGTTCTTGATTTGCAACTTTTCGCGAAAGGATGCGTCTTCGTTTCCGTGAATAATTGAAGGAAGGTCCCTCCTCAGACAAGTCAGAGTCAGACTCGTCATCTGACAAAAGAGCAAAGGGATTTTTGTCGTCGGTCGATGGCGTGACTGTCTTAAGCATTTCTGCAAAAGACTGCCTAGAACGTTCCTTAAGAGAGCGTTCTAGTTTCTCCCCGCGTTGTTTGTACGCCGGGCACGACGAGAGACCATGAGAAGTTCCCTTACAGTACACGCATTTTGGTGCAGTGACTGTGCAGGCGCCATCCTCGTGCTTCTCCCCGCATTTGGAACAGCGTGCCTTGCTGCCACAGTGAGAGGCCGTATGTTTGCAGTCTGTGGGGATGAAGCTCTTTTTACCCTCGCTGTGAAAGGTACTGATCCCTGCTTCTGGACTTCCAGTATCTCAACCGTGGGAATCAAGGGGTTCTTGAAACGGCCAACCGCTTGCTTCGCCAAGATCTCGGGGGTCAGGCTCGCTTCGGTGACCACACCTTCGATCTCCACACGAGTGTAAAGAGCTGGGCGGCAACAATCTCGTTAGCTTGTTTCTGGTTAGAGACGACAACACGAAGTTTATTGTACCTATCTAACTAAAATGTAATACATCAAATCATGCTTTGATAAGCAATCTGTATAGAGTAGGTTAGGTGTATATAGTAGTCGTAGGTTAGTTGTAGTTGTAAATAATAGTTATAAGTAGCCTTTTTTTTCAATTTCAAACAAACCTGATTGGATTAGGAAATTAATCAATAATTATACAAATTTCAAATTAACTAAAGATGAAAAGACACGTCTGTGTCACTTGTGAATTCAAACATGTTAACCACACAAAGACAAGAAATAAAGATCAATTAAAGTCAAAGTGTTTTGCAGAGTCAGGTACTCTATTTTGTAGTCTGTGACATGTTGAGAAATTGAACAAGTGAGAGCAAATTTTGTCTCTCAAATTTGATTTGTTTGGATATCTGGGGACTGGTAGCAGCGTATTTATACCGATTTCCAAACTAGATACCGATATACAGATAAGGTTCCTCAGAATACCGATTTTTAAAATTTTAAACCGATTTATATCATTTTGTTTTAAATAATCTAAACTATTATTGCCTGCCCGCGCTCGAATTTCGGAGAAAATTTATGTGAGTATCTTTTTGAATACCTAATATTTTTTGAGCCTTCAAAATTCTAAAAAACCATCCCTAAAGATGCCTTATGCTTGATACTCTTTCGACTAACTTTGGAAGCTTCTTTAGCCTTCGATCGAATGATTCTTTCATCTTCTCCCGCCAGCTTTTTTTAACTTTCCCGGAGCTTCAAGGATGTTATCAGATTTTTATTGCGGATCCACACTAGCTGCAGGCACATTTAAGAATTTCTGAAACTTCAGAAAAGTCCAGTAAGAACTCCAGTGAACTTAAAGAAACAATATAAATATTTTGGAAACATTACAAGTGCAATGAACTTCAGGGAAATTCAATGGTTTTCAAGAACTTTAGTGAAGCTCAGAGAATATCAGGACAGATCAAATAATTTCAATGCAATTGCTGGAACTATATAGGAGTTCCGAGAGACTCAGGCAATTTCCGAAAACTTCAGCAATGTTCATGCAAATTTAGGAAACGTAAGGGAAGATACATGAAAATTAGATCATTGTGAGAACATTTTATGGGAAATTCTATGCTTTTTAATGGCAGTGTCGATAACTTTGAAAAATTAAAAAAAATTGAGGAGATCAGAGAACGTCAATGCTGATGTTACAATAAATTCAAGAAAATTGTGAGAGCACTTAAGAGATTTCATAATCTTCAAGAAAGTCCAGAGACCTTCTAAGATGATAAGAGATATTCCGGTAGTCTTAATATAATCAGGGAAGTTCCTAGCGCTTCGAGGATGCCCAGAGAACTCCAAAACAGTCCCTAATTTCAGAAAATTGCAAGAACTTTTTAGGAATGTCGAGAATTATGGAATATTCCATTCCTGCATTTCAGAAATGTCCCAAAACCTACAGAGGGAAATTTCGAATCTTCAGGGATCTTTTTTGAATATCAGAAAATTTTTCTGGATCATTAGAACATCCCCCAGTAATCTCGTTCATTCGGAATTATGTCCTTGTTTATTTCGACTGTTCCGCTCTGGCTTCCGACTTTCTTCAGATGTTTCTTCCAATCTACCTTAGGAAGTTTCTGCCAGCGTCTCCAGGAAGTTTCTTTCGTCTTCTCCAGGAAGTTCAATTAATTCTCCCAGAAATTTCTTTCGTCTTCTTCTGGAAGTTTGACCATGAGCCAAAGTTTTTTTTTTTGTTCGACTTCTAATGGAAGGTTTTTCCGAGCTTCTTCTGGCTTTCCCTGGAAATGGCTACTTCTGGAAATTTACTTCGGGTTTTTGAAACTTTTCTGGCTTCCTTTGGATGTGACATCCGATTTTTTCCGATAGTTTATTTAAATTTTCGCCACAAGTTTCTCAATTCGTGTCTTGGAAGTTTCCCGGAGGTTTTTCCAGCTTTTCTCGAACTTCATCCAGGAGAGCTTCTTTCGTCTTTCTCTGAATGTTTTTTTCCAGCTCCATTCAGAATCTAATTCAAACATTCCCCGGAGTTTTTTTTTTCCGAAATTTTCCGATCATAGTTCAAAAGCTAAAATTTTGCTTTGATTAACGGCTTTCTCAGTCTTAAAACACTGCGACGACTACGATGTAATCTGCCCTAAAAAGCCTGAATTTATAAAAATTCAGGCTCTTTAATCTGTCCGACATTTCGACCATAGGTTGTGGCTTTTTTCAAGGGAAAATATTGTTTGTCGTTATTGTCAATAGTTTAATCGTTGTTGTGGCTGATTTTCCATATTTTGGCTTCATTTAATGATATTTAATTGAAATAAAAAACACTACTTGGTCTCAATTTTGATCACCACTTGAGGACGATAATTTTAAAAATTAAATAAAAAAAAAATTATAGAGTGTTTTAAGACTGAGAAAGCCGTAAAACAAAGCAATTCCCAGTCGTCACCATCGTTATTTGTTTTGCTTTGAAAAACGGCAATGATATAAAATTAAATAAATAGTAAATACCGATAAACACCGATTATTTAATACCTTTGATACCGATAAGCTTTAAAACAATCTGGCAACGCTGACTGGTAGTAAAACAGGTAAAACTGTATGGAGAAAAATCATTTTATTTTATTTTATTGTACCTTGTTTAACAATAATTTCCGAGAAAAAACTGAACGACAAAGTCCCTGACTAATTTATTTAGGGTGTCGTTCACTTTTTTTGACCTGAATATGCACCGAAAGCGAATTATTCCCACTTATCTCAATTTATATATGTCGATTTTTATCACTTCCTACCAGCGGAACAGCGCCATCTCTGTGGAAAATGGCCAGACGAAGTGATTAATTCAATTAAGTTCGTGATTTTGCCATCTCCGACCACTGTGTGCCTCCCCTTAGCCCAACATTCTAATTACACCTAAGACATTTATGATTATACAACGGGGAATTTTTGCCTACTGATAACATTTTCTAAGAAATTAATTTATATTTTTTATCAAACACTGATTAAAAGGTTCGGTTCATTCCAAATTCCATTCAACTTGTAATCTTTATCTTGCTAGATAACAAGTAGGCACAAAAAGTCAGTTCTGAATCATCGAACCGATAGGCTTCATATTCAGCTGAGCGAACCTTTTTTGACGTTGGATAACGTCTTTCGGCAACATACGGGGGTACAAAATTGAAAACAGTCATTTTGGATGCGTTACAAAAAATTGAAAGATTTTGAACGATAATAAATCAACCGTCTCTCGATAGATTTACGAGATAATGGCATCAATCGATTGGAAATATTTCTAGCAATTTGCTGAATGTTTCAAAACTATTGATTTCATTCTGTAAACTATTGAAAAATGGTTAAAAGTAAACCATTGTCTAAAGATGGTGAAAATCGATTGATTTTTTTTATATTCTTATACTTTCTCCAACCGAGACATCAGATGCGAGTATCTGACACCTCTGATATTTGGTCGCCCGTTCCGTCATTGTCTATCCGATCGTCGACCCAGCAGCAGAGCAGCAGAGCAACAGTACCAGAGCAGCGGAAGCAGAGCAACGGCAGCAGAGCAGCGGCAGCAGAGCCTGGGGGCGAAAGGGCAACTACGCCGAGTGCGTTGGTGCCAGTGCTTCGGTATACTGGGCCGCCGTCATGGAATGCCCAGCTGCTGCAGTGCTCAGTCGGTCGTATTCACCGTCTGCTCCGCAAGGGCAACTACGCCGAGCGCGTTGGAAAAATGGCCCTTCTCAGGGCCACAACATTATCAAGAAAGAGTTTAACGATTAATTTTCTAATGCATATTTTATCTCGAAAATTAATTTTAAAATTCTTAACAATGGATGATGCTACGAGAATCAGGAAAACATAATAAAATTTACTTAGAAAGTACCATAATGTTATTTTCTAGTGGATTGGTCAAAGACCTTTTTCACTTTGATGCTACATGAAAATAAAGTGAAATTTATTTCCAAATCATATACCGGACCCGCTGTGTACCCGTACACGTTCTACTTCGTTACTTAATCTGGACTAGAACGGAACGAGCGAATTAAAATTTTAAAAGTTCACAACTCTCTTGAATTATTGTGGTGGCCCTGAAAAGGGCCGGTTTTTGTTAAGATTTCGACGGGGTAATTAAGCGCGTTCTCCACGAATACGACGAGCCAGCTGGATGTCCTTCGGCATGATAGTGACACGCTTGGCGTGGATGGCACACAGATTGGTATCCTCGAACAGACCGACCAGACAGGCCTCGCTAGCTTCCTGCAGAGCCATAACAGCTGAGCTCTGGAAGCGCAGATCGGTCTTGAAGTCCTGGGCAATTTCACGGACCAGACGTTGGAAAGGCAACTTTCGGATCAGCAGTTCGGTGGATTTCTGATAGCGACGGATCTCACGCAAGGCGACGGTGGTACACCTCCGGTGGCTGGAGCGCTCTTGCGAGCGGCCTTCGTTGCCAACTGCTTGCGAGGAGCCTTCCCTCCAGTAGACTTGCGAGCGGTCTGCTTAGTGCGAGCCATTTTCGTTGGTTGTGATGTGTATTCAATGAGAGCACACTGTGGAATAAAAAAAAAATCAATTCCATTCTCTTTTATAACATGCGTTTGCTGTGTTCAACCAATCAGAAACGATGAAAGAACAAGAACACAACAACTAACAAAAAGAATTTAACCCTCGAGTAGGTATAAAAGAGCCAAAATTTGAAGTTTTTGATCACATGGAATTCTCTGCTTGAACGTCAAGCAGTACAGTTCGGTCTTTGCTCGCTCTGTCGAGTTGTTCTAAAGTTTCTAGTTTGTTCCAAACATTCGCAGTTTAATCGCGTCGTCAGTAGTGTCGGTCGCTTCGTGTGATGGGAAGACAGCGCTCCCGGAGCAGGCTCCGAGAGAAAACGGAGAAGAAGAACAGCGGTGAGGGTAGCTTGAGTGTACCTATTTCGAATAGGTACGCTACTCTTCCCACCGATGTAGGGAATCCCACCTCAGCCACGGTGAAGCGGTCTAAGAAGAGGAAGAAAAATCAAGGCCAGTCCGATGGTGCGAGTGGACGGGACGATGCCACCGCGACGAACGTCAGCGTCATTGGTGATTTCGGCGACGCCGTCGACAACGAAACTGCTGCCAGCCCGAGTGCAGCAAAAATGAAGCTTCCTCCACTGGTGGTGAAGCAAGTCCCACTCAACACGCTGATTGGCGATCTTTCATCGCTGGGCGTTGCAGCTGAGTATAAGCTCGGCAGGATCGGCACCAAGGTGATGCTCCGAACCAAAGCGGAGTACGAAGTGGCCGTGAAATATCTGAAGGATACCAAGGCTGAATTCTTCACGCACGACATCCCCGGTGAGAAGCCCTTCAAGGTAGTCATCAGGGGTCTACCAAACTTCGACCCCAAGATGGTCGAAGCCGAAATCAACCGGTACAAGCTAGCCCCAATCGCTGTCTTCCGAATGACAAGGAGAGATGAAAACGTGAAGACGTACCCGGATTGTCTTTTCCTGGTGCACTTCCAGAAAGGGACGGTGACGCTCAATGCGCTACAAGCCATCCGATCGATCTACTCCATCATCGTACGGTGGGAGCCATACCGTGGCGGTCATCGTGACGTAACGCAGTGTATGAGGTGCCTCAATTTTGGACACGGTACCCGCAACTGCAACATCAAGCCACGCTGCAGCAACTGCGCTCAAGAACACGCCACTTCCAACTGCCCTGCGGATGGAGCCGTGGCGATAAAATGCGCTAACTGTGGTGGTGCACATCAAGGTTCTGACAGACAGTGCTCCAAACGCGAGGACTTCAAACGCATCCGAAAGCAGGCGTCAAGCAACAATCAACCAGGACGCAAGAAGGACAAAACCCCAGCATTCAGGACGGAGGATTTTCCGCCTCTTCGTGCTCCCCAGCAAAGGCAAACGAATTCGCGGGTGCAACCCGCCCCCCCCTCAAGAAGCTTCCGGTGATTCTGCTGGCCAAAGCTCTCCATCCCCCCCTGGATTCTGGAGACAACCAACAACGCAAAACAACAACCCCGATCTGTTCTCAGCGGATGAACTGATGGAAATTTTCGTCAACATGTCCGGTGCTCTTCGTAAGTGCCGCAATAAGCCCGAACAGATCCAAGTGCTCGGTAAGTTCATCATCCAGTATGGCGTCTAAACCGCTAACCATCGCTACCTGGAACGCTTGCTCTGTAAAAGCATAACAGATTGAGCTTGCCGACTTCCTCCGCAAGCACAGCATCGACGTGGGCCTTCTAACCGAGACCCATCTAATGTCCGGCGACAGCTTCTGGTTGCCTGACCACAACATTATCCGGCTTGATCGCACCAGCTCCAGGGAGGGGGGGTGTAGCGGTCATCGTCAAGAAAGGAATAAAATACCACACTCTGTCCCATATCCGCACCTCTATCATCGAGGCCCTTGGTGTGGAGGTGGAGTCGTCGACTGGATACGTCCAGTTCATCGCCGTCTACTGCCCTCGACAGTGTGCCGCCAGCAGTGGACTAGCGGCTAAATTCAAGAAGGACCTGTCCACCATCACCCGTACCGGTTCCCGCTTCGTAGTTGGAGGAGATCTGAATGCTCGCCATGAGGCCTGGCGGAACTACCAGCAGAACCAGAACGGTCGTCTCCTGTTCGACCACTCACAGCATGGGCTGTATTCCGTTTGGTTTTCGGATGAACCAACATTCATCTCACCGGCGGCAACCCATCGACGCTAGACCTGTTCCTGACAAATATCGGCTTGTCCAAGCCGGTAGCCTTGAACGAACTCAGCTCCGACCACCAACCGGTGGTGGCTGAACTGGGCTGCAACGTGGCTCCTGCTTCAAGCCTGCGCAAGGACTACCATCGCGTTAACTGGGCCCAGTTTGGACGCGTGGTAGACAGGCACATCATCGACAACCCGCCGCTTGACACCGTGGAGGACATCGACCGAGCGTTGGAGGGACTCCACCAAGCCATAACCGTGGCTGACGAGGCGTGCGTCCGACGAGTTCCTGTGAGGGGTAAGTTTATC